CATGCCTTAAAGTTGAGAGTGGCATTAGTTTAATCAACTATAATTAAACCATTTGAGGTGTTCTTAAAACATTTTGATATTTGCAAAAAAGATTTATTTATTTTTTTATTTGAAAGGCAGTACAACAGAAAGGAGATGCATTCACTGGTTCACTCCCCCAAAAGGCTGCAACAGCAGGACTGGGCCAGGCTGAAGCCAGGAGCCTGGATGTCCATCTGGGACTCCCACATAGGATAGGAGCCCAAGCACTTGGACCATCTTCCACTGCTTCCCAGACTCATTAACAGGAAGCTGGATCAGGAGCAGAGTGGCCAGGTCTCAGATCGGCACTCTGATATGAGATGCTGGCATCATGAGCAGTGGTTTAACTTGCTGCACAAGGCTGGCCCTAAATTTTTATATTTTTGAACCTGTGCACCTGTGGTCTTACTCTTCTTTCTGTCTGTTCTTATACAAGAATTCCCCTTGTATGTGCCATCTGAATTTTATTGACATCAGAGCAGTGATCTCCACCTTGAAAGCATTGTGGTTGTCCTGCAGAAAAACTTAGTGAAGTCAGCACCTTTCAGACTTTTGACTAGAACTGTCTGTCTTTTTGGAACACGAGCTAGAACCTAGAAGGAATTGTTTCTATGAAATACACTGACCTAATGAGAGACTCAGAAAGGCCATTCCTCAAGTATCACTGAGTGGCCTCTAGTCAACAGTGGTCATAATTGTGCCGTTTGTCTTGGTCTGTCTTGTTTGTCATGGGGAGCACTACTCAGGAATAGAATGAACAATACAACTTCGGTGTTCTTCCCAGACTCCAGTCACTGCATCTTTCCTCTTGTTCCTGTCTCTACATCTGCTCTTATTGCTCCTTGGGTAGTGTCTGTGATGTAGCAGTAGTTCTTTTTTTTATTTTATTTTTATTTATTTTTTAAGGAATACAAATTTCATAAGTACAACTTTAGGAATATAGTTACTCTTCCCATCATACCCACCCTCCCGCCCACATTCCTACCCCTCCTCCTCCTCCCTCTCCCCTTCCCAGTCCTATTCTCCATTAAGACTCATTTTCAGTTAACTTTGTACACAGAAGACCAACTCTATACTAAGTAAAGATTTCAACAATTTGCACACACATGCACACACACACAAAATTGTTTGAGAACTAGCTTTACAGTTAACTTTCATAATACAACTCATTGAGGTCAGAGGTCCTGCATGGGGAGTTAATGCACAATGACTCTTGTTGTTAATTTAACAATTAATGCTATTATGTATGACATCAGTGACAACCCAGGCCCTTGACATGAGCTGCCTAGGCTATGGAAGCCTTTTGAATCCACAGACTCTATCAGTATTTAGACAGGGACATAAGCAAAGTGGAAGCTCTCTCCGCCCTTTGGAGAAAGGTACAACCTTCTTTGATGGCCACTTCTTTCCACTGGGGTCTCCCTCACAGAGGTCTTTCACGTAGGACATTTTTTGCTACAGTGTCTTAGCTTTCCATGCCCTGAAAGCAGCATTTTTTTTTTTTTTTTTTTTTTTTTGACAGGCAGAGTTAGACAGTGAGAGAGAGAGAGACAGAGACAGAGAGAAAGGTCTTCCTTCCTTTGGTTCACTCACCTAATGGCCGCCATGGCCGGTGCTGCGCGGATCCGAATCCAGGAGCCAGGTGCTTCCTCCCGGTCTCCCGTGCGGGTGCAGGGCCCAAGCACTTGGGCCATCCTCCACTGCACTCCCAGGCCACAGCAGAGAACTGGACTGGAAGAGGAGCAACCGGGACAGAATCTGGCACCCCAACTAGGACTAGAACCCAGGGTGCCGGTGCTGCAGGCGGAGGATTAGCCAAGTAAGCCATGGCACTGGCCCTTATTTTTTTTTTTTTTTTTAAGAGATTTATTTATTTGAAAGTCAGAGTTACACACAGAGAGGAGGAGAGACAGAGAGAGAGAGAGAGAGTTCTTCCATCCACTCGTTCACTCTCCAATTGGCTGCAGTGGCCGAAACTGTGCCAATCCGAAGCCAGGAGCCAGGAACTTCCTCCTGGTCTCCCACGTGGGTGCAGGGGCCCAAGGACTTGGGCCATCCTCCACTGCTTTTCCAGGCCATAGCAGAGAGCTGGATCAGAAGTGGAGCAGCCAGGACTCAAACTGGTGCCCATATGGGATGCCAGCACTGCAGGCAGCAGCTCCACCCGCTACGCCACAGCGCCAGTCCCAGCGTTTGTTCTTGATCTGCGGACTTTTGGCCATGTACCTCCAAATGATGCTTACCATTCTCCTTGTTTTTCAAGATTCTGTGATGGCTTCTGAACAAATTAAAACAGAGCCTCAGTGTTGCTGCCAGGTCATGGTTAACGAGTGCTGGGACACTTGTGTGGTGTGGACTTGGCCTTGTTGCTGATGTCACCTGCCTTCTCCATGTCCTGCCTAAATTGAATATATTACATAAAATCTATTTAAAGTGCCTTTGGGAATAACACTGGGTATAAGATCTGAGCTTTTTGGAACATGATTTTTTTCCTAGTCTGGAGGTCTTGGTCAAGTATGACCAATTAGAATAGTTCTGTAATGCTCAGTTGGGGGAAAAATAATGATGACAGTGGAAACTGATGGAAAAAGTTCTGGACTGCTTCTTGCATGACCTTAAAACAACTTCAGCTGTTTTCTATAGCAGAGCCTTCTCTTGGCCCATTTCTTAAAATCCATGTGTAGTTTATCTCCTTGGATTACTACCCTGGAGTCTCCTTGACAGATGACATATACCAGCTTGTCCTGCAGTGGACCTGCTCTGCAGGGCTTTCCCACCTCCAGCCCGTGAGGACACAGCCCCCAGCCGTGTCTGCTCCTGTGAGGCACAGTCTCGGGGACACCGAGTAAAAATCATTTCCCCACATGGTCCCATTGCAGCTTTCTTTCCTTAACCAGAGGAGTTAACTGTAAAGTGCGTTCTGTTTAGTGTTGATTTGTGCAGTTGTGTGCATTTATATTTTCCTGGACTGGAAGTTCTCAGAGGTGGAGACAAAGAAGTCCTGTGAATCATTTGCAGCTGGGCACGGGTTAGAGGCCACGCAGATGACAGTGGAGACAATTCAGACATGTGGGGGCTGAGCAGGGAGCAGTCTAAATTATTTCATAACTGGGGAGGCACCATTCTGGTTTCTTCTCGGTGCTAGCTTGTTTGGTAGTGTTTTCTCTGCCTTTTAATGCCCACAGAGGTCCATTTACAGTGCTCCTGTCACTGTCTACCCTGGGAAGGTTATGGGAGAACCGACTTGGTGTTAACTACATCCTTTAAATGTCTGGCAGAAGACCCTCAGTTGAATTCCATCCCCTGATGTGCAGGCTGTTTTTGCCCAGGCTCCATTCCCAGGCGAGCACAGCGATGTGGGGAACAGGTTTGGGATGATGGGCAGATTTTCTCTTATTGATAAAACTTTTCATTTTGCCCATTTCATTGAAATGGTCTTACGTCAATGCAGAAGATGCTACAGACATCATTCAAGAAGCTCATTGTTATTTTAATGAGTCTGCATTAAACCATGCAGGAAATTAGAAGGCCTGGGTAATTGAACTGTGGAAAATTACAGCTGGAGAAATTCACAGCTCTCCCATCATAACAGAATTAGGTATCAGGGGTTGTTGAGAGGGCAGAAGCTCTGTATGTTGTATATTCATAAAGAATCATTTTTCTTCCCTCTGTTCCCCATTTATTTATTTATTTTTATGAGGCAGTGTATCCATTTGAAAGCCTAATTTCCTCTCCTAGGTGATTTACTTCATACGATTTTCTTCTACTACTGTCATTAAGTCAAGGTTACAGTGGTTAATAAGCTCTTTCTAGACACCCAAGCTCCATAGTAGGAGACCTTCTCAGAGCTGACGAGGATTTTATCTCTAGTATTTTGTGATGATTTCTTGTTCCAATATAGCAGGTCTGTCTCCTTGTAAGTTTTCTTGGTCTGTTCTGTCATTTGTAAGAGGTGCGATGTTTGGATCTGAACCTCTTTGGGTCAGGTTGGTGACAGGGTCGTGAAGAACCTGAAGTTCATCATCATTGGAACTGACCACTTACCTCCATCTTCCCCACTGCTGAGCAGGCTACTACAGGCCTGGGCTGAGCTTCAGGTAAATGCAGCCGCAGCCCACTGCCCAAAGTCCTTGTCAGCTGCAAAGTGAGCTTGTGTCGAGATTCTCTCGGATCAAGGCCATGCGAAGCTGAGTCGAGGAAGGCTTTATTTTTCCTTTGAAGAAAATCAAGTGTGGTTTATACATAGGCAGTCCTGGCCCCTTCCTCCTGGGCGAGTGAGTGGGCTGCTCCTACATGTCACTGTCTGCTAGTGAGTTTAACTGGGATGTCGGAAATCCATGCTGCAGGAAGTTCACGCCTGTTGCTTTCTCCCTCCTACTTCCTGTTCCAATCCATGTTCTTTGAGTTTACCCCATCTTCCCTGAATTATTTTCAGCTTACAGTGAACATTTATTGATTATTATTCCAGGATGCAAGTGCTACAGAGAGGAAATCAAAGGTGAACACAGCCCAGTCCTTGATCCCCCTGATTTTGTGGGGGAGCCAGAAAAGATAGAATTTAATGGCACATCTTATGTGCTAGGGTCGAGACTGGCACAGGGTGCTATGAAGGCAGCTGGGAAGGACTTGGAGAAAAGGAGATGGCTTTTAACCGCCTGCATCGGCAGCGCCAAACCATAGGTTCTCGCCACAAGCAAGGTTTTTTCTCTGATCTGTGTGTGGAGAGCCACAGCGAGCTCTGGAGCAAGGACGGCCTCCAGCGTCTTGGGAATTTGGTCTGCCCTTGGTTCTGACATGGTTAAATTTGAGAAGTGCCAGCAATGAGAGTGTCCAGGCAAGTGCAAGGTGGTCAGTAGCCTGGATTCCAGGGGATTTTGCTCTTCCTGGGGGCCTCCAGCTCCTCCCGCATGGGGACATTCTGAGTTTGCCCCCTGTGTCCCTCCTAGTGTTCACAGCACCTATGGCTGTTTATCTTCTAGGTGGCCAAGAGGGTGATCCTGCTGTCGGGCACACCAGCCATGTCCCGGCCCGCGGAGCTCTATACGCAGATAATTGCAGTCAAGCCGACCTTCTTCCCTCAGTTTCATGCCTTTGGACTTCGCTATTGTGATGCCAAGCGGGTATTTATTCTTTTCCTTCTTCCCTCGCCCACCCATCCTCCCCCTGGTTTTGACACTGCTCTCTGCTGCTGCTTTGGCCATGGTGTTATCAAAAGGATACTGGCTGGAGAAATGGGCCAAGATCAGTTCTGGTTTTGCCCCCAGCTCTGGCCCAGGAGATCTCAAGGGTAAGAGGAAATTGATGCACCTTCCTTCCCATCTCCCCACGGCCCCACCTCAGTTTGCAGTGATTCCAGGAAAGAGACTGGTGGCTAATGCTGGGTGTGCTTAGCTCCCAGAGCTGGCACTCCCTCCCAAGGTCCCAGCTCCAGAAGCAAAGTCCAGCTGCTATCCCGCGAGAAGGGCTCTGGGGTAAGCCAGGGGTGCAGCTGAGCCCTTGGTGGAGGGAGATCGTAGATGCAGTGAGTGAGGTTTGCTTGGCAAGGGAGGAATTAGAGGAGGAAGAAACCATCTCTGTGCAGGCAAAGAGAAAGCAGAGGCTTGGGGAGCGAGATCTGGGTGGCCCCATTGTGTTGCCTTCAGGTAGCCCCTGCTCACAAGCACCAATCCCAGAGCCAGGCGTGCCCACGGGTTGTCAGCGTGCACATGGTGCCTGCAACCTGCACAGCCTCGCTTCTGGGCAAGTTCATGATGTCACCAAGATTGTCTGCCTTATTGTTTAAGTACTTTTTTAAAAGAAAGAAAACACTTTTCAAGTACTTTAAAATTATCCACTAACATTCAAACACGGTATTTACAAATTGCAGTGCTTAGCAAAGTTAATTGCAAATCATTTTTAGCTGGAGTTTGAGGCATGGGCGGTTTCTCAATTGTTTAATGTATTTGAAAGCTGTACAGTTCTGAAATCAGATAGGAAATTCTCTTTCCCATGAATCAGTGCGGATCAGATTGATCGAATGTCATTGTCATTGTCGTGGTGCGTCAGAGCTCTTCATGTGGGGTTTGTACCTCTCTCCTATTTGCAAATGATCCACTTCAGGAAAAGGATCGTCTCATCCTTGGTGCCTGGGACCTCAGCCAGTGAGGGAAGGGGCTGAAGACTGAATTCACTGCCTTTAGTGCTCCCCATATTGAGCTTTCAGTCCCCAACCGCCGTCTCCCCCGAGTAGTCTCCCACCCAGAAACCAGGGCACCATCTTGAATTCTTTGCTTTCCTTCTTACCGCCCCAGCCCAACAGTTACCTCCGAAAACAGATGCAAACCATGCCGCCTCAGCTTCATAGCCTTCCTCCCACCTAGCCCAGCGCCCGGTGCATGATACATTTTTAATCAGAGCTTCTTGAATTGCTGTTATTTCTGACATCCAGTTTAAAACCTTTGGTATGACAGTTTTTAACATACAAGGCTAAGAGGTGACAATTCTAGACCATAGGCGCATGATATGCAAATTAATTATCATGTCTACTTGTTCCCAGCATGGTTTTTATATAATGCAGCCCATAAGTTGAGGCTGCTTTTTAGCAGAATTTTCGCCAGCCCCATGCATCGAGAGAGGCTGCCGAAGAAGGCACCCCTGGCTGAGCTCGTGTGCAGCCCGGCCCCATGGCTGGCTGAGGGCACTGTGGAGAGCGTCCAGTCGGTTTCAGGGGACTTGTCAGAAAGACACAGCACTGGGGCATCCTCTTTCTCCACCCCTGACCATCTCCTTCTACTGTCAATTCAGCAAAGGTCTGAAGGACGCCATCCCTGTCCCCAGGAGTGTGTCAGGCCCTCCCGCCATCCAGAATGAGCAGGCCCAGCCCTGCCCTCGGGGGTGAGGCAGGAGGAGAGAGCTGCTGGGAGTGCGCAGCAGCAGATGTGCTGGGCCCCTGGGCTTCTGCAAGGCCCTGGAAACCAGGCCTGTGTCCAGTGAGACACAGGTGGGAAAGGACAGGGCTTTTACTTGCCCCAGGTGGCGAGTTCTCTGGCCATGTGGCAGGGAACCTGCCTCTGAGCTCGCCGCCTCCCATCAGCTGCTCAGTGAGGCCGCCGTGTTTGCGAAGGATGCCCACGCCCTGCCGCAGGGGATTATCAGCCGACCCCAGCAGCCATCACCACCAGCAGCAACACTGCAGTTGAGTTTGTCACATCACACCTGGCTATGCTGGTGTGGTCCACATTGAGGGACCGGTCTGTGAAATCCCCTGTAAATCTCATCAGATCAAGCTGCTCCTGGCATTATGTATCACGCTGTGCAGTGCACTCTATATACCCTAGGGAAGATTCAGTCCTGTATCCGGCATCCAGGAGAAGTCTGACAAGCTGAGGGTTTTGTTTTTTAATAAAATAGACACCATGTTGCTCGCCTTTCAACGTGTGCCCTTGGAGGGCTGCGGCCCAGACTGTGGAATGCTAGGATAAGTGGTGCTGTGGTTTTGCGTTTTTTCCCCCGCTCTATTCCTGACTTTCTTTCCTCCCCTCGTCCCTTCTGCTTGTCATTTGTCCTCCTTGGGGGCCGTGTATTCTCGCAGGGTCACTCGGATCCTATGAACAAAGCCAGGGGTGGGTGTGAGAAGAGCCCCCGCGAGAGTGGTAACGGGGCTGCGTCTCTGTTCCCTGCAGCAGCCTTGGGGCTGGGATTACTCCGGCTCCTCCAACCTGGCGGAGCTGAAGCTGCTGCTGGAGGAGGCGGTCATGCTGCGCCGCCTCAAGGCCGACGTCCTCTCCCAGCTGCCCGCCAAGCAGCGCAAGATGGTGGTCATCGTCCCAGGACGGATCAGCGCCAGGGCCAGGGCTGCCCTGGACGCCGCAGCCAAGGAAATGACCACCACCAGCAAAACCGTGAGTCCTGCGTGAAGTGGCCGTGCGTACAGGTGTCCTTGCTGTGAGGGGCCCTGCGGCAGTGACCCAGGTCACTGAAACTCGCCCTTCCGTAGCTTTTCCCAGTTCCTGGGGCAACAGCACCAGGCCCGTTCTACCCCAGCCTGCCCGCTTCCTTTCAGAACCCTTTGATCTGGGGTGCTGTGCTTGTCCAGAGCAGTGCTGATGAGTGGTCATGCAGGGAGCCCCAGCACGGCAGCAGGGTGGTGTTGTGTATTGTGATCCCGCAAAAGAAATTGCAATGTTTGGTATACATTGAGAATTCCCTAGCCAGTTAGTCCTACATGTGTTTGATACATTTATTTATTTATTTTTTAAAGATTTATTTTATTTATTTGAAAGACAGAGTTACAGAGAGAGGTAAAGACAGAGAGAAAGGTCTTCCTTCCATTGGTTCACTCCACAGATGGCTGGAGCTGTGCCGATCCAAAGCCAGGAGCCAGGTGCTTCCTCTGGGTCTCCCACATGGATGCAGGGGCCCAAGGACTTGGGTCATCTACTGCTTTCCCAGGCCATAGCAGAGAGCTGGATCAGAAGAGGAGCAGCCAGGACTGGAACTGGCGCCCATATGGAATGCTGGTGCTTCAGGCCAGGGCTTTAACCCACTGCGCCACAGCGCCAGCTCCTGTTTGATACATTTATTAACCCTCTAATCATGCCATGTTATTTACATAAGTCAAAAATAACAAGTGGACATTTAAAACAAAGTTTTAGACCTTTTTTTAAAAAAATTGTTATTTAAAAGATGCAAATTTCATGTATGTCATATGTACAGATTTAGGAACATGGTGATACTTGCCATCCTTCCCTCCCTCCTGCCCTCAAACCTTCTAAACCTTTTTTGGTTTTTAAAGATTTACTTATTGATTTGAAATGCAGAGTTACAGAGAAGCAGGGGCACAGAGAAAGAGGTCTTCCATCCCCTGGTTCACTTCCCAGATGGCCGCAATGGCCAGAGCTCGGTCGATCTGAAGCCAGGCGCTTCTTCTGGGTCTCCCACGCGGATACAGGGACCCAAGGACTTGGGCCATCCTCTACTGCTTTTCCAGGCCATAGCAGAGCTGGATCAGAATTGGAGCAGCCAGGACTCAAACCGGCACCCATACAGGATGCTGGCATTGCAGATGGTGACTTTATCCGCTACACCACAGTGCTGGCCCCGGAAACCTTTTGAATCCTTATTGCAGCCATTTCTAGTTGACACCTCCATTTCACAGAGAGGGAAACTGAGGCTCACAGAAATTATGATTTGCCTGAAGTCTTATAGCTCCATGGTAGAGCTGAGGCTGAAACCAAGTCTTGTGCCCTTATGCTTTTCCCACTATGGTTATTTTATCTTTCAAAACATTTTAGTGTCAGACTGTACTAAGTACTGTAAAGTAATGCACACTAGCTCTGTTTCTGACCTCTTGGGATAAAATTTTGTAATTTTCACTGCCAAGAAAATAACAGTCATTGATATTTTTTGACATTATCATAAAGCATTATCCGGGCTTAATATTACCCCATATAAAAAACTTAGCTAGGGATGGCATTTCAGCCTTCTGGGAGATTGTAAGATAAATAAGACTGACAAGAGACAGAATGTGTGAGGTTTTTAATGTTATTTTACCTTATGATGAGCAAGACTAGTTGGTAACTTTTAAGAAACAGGGGTAAGATGGCCGATACCCTGGCCAATTTTCATCTTGTGTTTCATTTATATGTAATAATCTGGAAAGCCCAGAAGAGACGATCACACACAAAGTGTTTGCAACGAGGTTTTCAGACAGCTCCACAGCACTGGTATGGATGGATAGAATTGGGTTTCAGTGGAACCTGGAGCAGAGACAGGGTGCTTGCTCTCTAAAATCAGTCTGGGTGAGCCTTTTCTGATTTCTGGATAAAAATTGAAGGAATGGGGAATTTTTTTCTCAGTTTTCAATTTTCTCTTAAATTTTTCTTAAACTTCTAATGTCTGCTGGCTCTTGTCTGTTAGTAAATGCCACCAGGCAAGAAAACCAATGGACAAGTACAGCAAATATGATGTTAACTGAAAAAATTCAGACATGCCTTATTTTTAGATATAAAAACCTGGATGGTTATAAAGTGTTTTGTTATTTGAAGATTTATTTGTTAGAAAGGCAGAACAACACAGAGAATCTTCTATCCATTAGTTCACTCCCCAAATAGCTATTATAGCCAGATCTGGCCAGACTGAAGCCAGGAGCCAGGTACTCCATCCAGGTCTCCCACGTGGGTGGCAGGGGCCCAAGCACTTGGGCCATCTCCTACTGCCTTCCCAGACTGGATCCAAAGCAGAGCAGCCAGGACTCAAAATGGCACTCTGACACAAGCAGTGACTTAAATCCATGGTGCCATGGTGCTGGCCCCTGGAATGCTATGTGGTTATTTTTGTTTGTTTTGGTTCTGGTGGTTGTTTCTGTTTTTTGCTGTTGAAGTTGTTCCTTGTATGTGTGAGATGGAAGGAGATCTGTTGCTGTTCTGTGGGACTCCCCTCGTCTATGCTGTCCACCTCCTGAAGCTGCTTGAGAACAGCCAGTGTAGACCACTGATAAAGCAACTATGTACATTTGAACTGAGGAAGAAAGTCACATTAGTTGACTAAGGGGCACTTGTGAATTGTGTGGTCAGCAAAAAGAAAAAGGCGAGAAATAGCAGTTCTACATGTAGTAGTTCTATATTTAGTGCGGCAAGCTCTGGAAGCATGTTTTTTTCCTTTTTATAGATGTATTTATTTATTTACTTATTTATTTAAAAGGCAGAGTTACAGAGAAGAGGGAGAGACAGAGAGATCTTCCACATGCTGGTTCACTCCCCAAGTTGCCACAATGGATGGGGTGGACCAGGCCGAAGCCAGGAGCTTCTTCTGGGTCTCCCATGTGGGTTGCAGGGGCTCAAAAAGTTGGGCCATCTTCTACTGCCTTCCAGGTGCACTAGCAGGGAGCTGAATCAGAAGTGCAGCAGCCAGGACTGCACTGGAGCTCACATGAGATGCTGGCATTGCAGACAGTGGCTTAGCTACTACGTCATAGTGCCAGCCCCTGAAAGCATTTTTAGAACTTCTAGCGGCTGTGTAGTTCTTCAAGTTAGGTGAATAGCTCTCTCCAAAGAGGATTTCGGATGTAGCCTGAAGGTTTGATTTCTGCGTTTATTGTTGACGGTCTGGAATGAACTAGGATGGGCCATGGAAATTCGCAGTGTGTTCAGGGAGCTGCAGAAATCGCTTAAGTTCTTGGGGATGTTATTATTTTCTTACCCAGAGAAGGGAGCCATGACCTGTTGCAGGGCTGCAATAGTGCCAGTTGCTGGGAGTGTGTGCTGTTTGTGTGATTGTCGTCTTTGCTCCATCGCCACCCCATGAAGACAAAGCCTGAGCTGCAACGAGATTCTTCAGGAGTGCAGCTGGGCCGGCGCCCAGAGCCCTTCTCAGCTCCGCTCTTGCGACTTGCAGTCTGTTTCCTTGGAGGCTTAGGAAAATTAAGCATCTCTCCCTGACAGATAGAAACTGTGTTGGTGCGGATTATCTTCAGTGCACTGCTGAAGCCAGACACTAAATTCTTTTAGCTAATAAGTCCTTGAGAACTTGATGCTCTTTTGTGTTCTGCAAGTTCATTTTTGTAATGGAGGATCCAAGTAGAAAACGAGTTTGTGTGCTGTGGGCCGTCAGAACCTTTCTCCTTCAAAGCCACTGGAGTGAGTGTGTGTGTGTGTGTGTGTGTGTGTGTGTGTTGGGGGGGGGTGCATTTCTAAGCCACAGATCTGGTCACAAGCATCGCTGTCACGCCGCTCAGGAAGAGGAGCCAGTCCCACCTGGGGGCTGCACTGAGTGACCACAGACATTCCTGCCGAGCCCCCACCAGCTGTGAAATTCTGAGCTGACAGAGCTGAGATGGGGAATCGTGGTTTCAGTCAAATAAGGAGACCTTGTGAATCCCCGGAGAGTGACCCCCTCCTCGGTTCTTATGGTCACTTTTTACCCCTGCAGTTTGGCATGTCCTGCTGGCTCCAGCCAAACCCTTGCGACCCACCTGTCAAGAATGGACTATTTCTTTGTTCCTTCACACCGTTCCATCTGGAGAAAACATTAAAAAAAAAAAAAGAAAAGAAAGTTTAAGTCTCAGAAACCAAGGCAAGGCAGCCAATTTATAAAATATGGCTTTTAATGAGAGCTTTTTTCAACTGAAATAATAGATACCTGATCACAGGCTGAGGACAGCTGCCTGGAGTCATCTTTTGTCTACAGCCAGTTTTGATTGGCGAGACCAGGAGCAGCATAATGGAACGAGCCCGTGCAGACTTCCCGGTGGCAACATCAGTTCCCCCTTGCCTTGGACAGGCCATTCCATTTTCCAACATAGAGAAGTAAATTTGAAAACTCCAGTGGCTCTAATTTAATGAAAGTCTAGGGAGTCAGGGACAAAGAACACAGGTTATTTAAAATTTCCTGTACCGTAGCTGGCAAAAGAAATAAGGTCATTCATGGGTGATATTATGCCTGTTGAGTTTGGAGGAGGTTTTTTTATTTATTTTTTAAGGTAAAACTTGATTTTTTTCCCACATTAAAAATAGAATAGATGTCTATTGAACAAAATCTGAAAAACAAAGAAGTCATAGTTATTGCATACTTGCTAAGTGCAGGCAAGTGCAGGCATGGCGCTTTATGTGTATTAAGTCATGTAATTCCCACCATCAGGGGTCCAGGCCCAGATGCTTGGCTCCACAGCCTACACCTAACAAGTGTTACCAATTCTGATCCTGCCATTTGGTAGCAAGCAGTGAGACAAGTAAAATCACTTGAGTTTTTGGTCTGTTTCCTCATCCATATTATGGGCATAAATATACCTTCCTCCTAGTAGTGTTAATTATTAAATCAGAAAATGGACATATAGTTCTTAGAGTACCACCTAGCTCATAATAAGTGGTGTGTGAGTGTTAATTAAGAAGAATCATCTTTTAGATCACATAATTTTCACAGATATCATTTGGGTATTTCTCTCTAATATCTATGTATGTATATTTTACTTTAAAATACTTTATAGATACCCATATGCATTTTAAAAGTAGAATTGGGATCACGACAAACATACATGAAATGGGGAAGTAAACAGGTGGTGCGATTACAAAGCGGACTTTTCCAAGTCGGTAAATGTTCTTTTGTAATCTAGTATTTGAAGGCCATATAGTGTTTTCTCACATGACTGCATCATAGTCTTGCCAGTCATTTTTAGTTGAACCTTACATTTTTTTCAATTGCTCGTGATTCCAGATCACACCACACTGGAAAAGTAGCTTACATCTGAATCTGTGTATATCTGATGTATTGTGAGGACAAATTTCAAGAAATAGGTTGCCGGCTGGGCATGTTTGAGAAGTTTGGGTACAAACTGCCACATCACCCTGGAAGGGGTCAGCCCAGACCCCCATTCCACCCAGCGTGTGTCATAAAAGCTCTTTGTCACAGCCTCGTCCACTCAGGACGAGGGGCCAGGGCCAGGGGCTCGGAAACTGCTTTTCCTTGAGTCTCCTTCTGTCTGTGTTGGCCTCTCTCTTTCTACTAGGAAGTGTGCAGCGAGGGATTGTGGGTAGCAAGGGTGGGCTGTGTCTCAAGGACACAGGTGTGAAGTTGTGGGTTGAGGACGACAGGTGTGGTCCAGCTGGGGTGTGTGTGCTGTGGTGGCCTCACCAGATGGGAGCCTGCCGTGTCCCGTGGGAACATCCTGCCAGAGTCCCACACAAGCAAAAGGTTGTGTGAGTGTGTCCAGAGCCTCATCACATGGTGAGCTGGGTTAAGACACACTCTGTGGAGTCGCCTCTTCCACCTGAGTTCCCAGGAGGTCTGAGTGGTTAGGTTGGACTGCTGCCACCCAAATATGGGGTCAGCATCAGTGTCCCCAGGGAGTCCTGTGCCGCCGGCCCCCCCCCCCCAATCTTGTTAAGGCCTAGAGAAAGGCACTGTTCAAAGCCAAGGAGCTGACCCAGGCAGCTTTTGCCACCATCTGATGAGTCGTTAGGTTCAGGTCAAGTCTGGCTGTGGCTGCTTCCCTGTTATGAGGACCCAGAAGCAGGGCTTCAGGGCCATGGGGGTTATCACCTTTGAGTCCCTTCTTTGTCCCGTTAGAGCCGTGGCGGTAGCCTCTGTCTCACAACCCTGCACCCTTACTCTCATGAAGAAGACGGTTGCCTATCTTAGTCTGTTCCCGCTGCTGTGACAGAGTGCCTCAGGCTGGGTAATTTAGAAATGGCGGAAATGGATTGCTCACGGTTCTGGAGCCTGGAGAGTCCGAGATCAGGGTGCCAACAGATCCGGTGTTTGGTGAGGGCCAATCTCTGCTTCAGAGACGGGCCCTCCACTGCATCCTCACATGGCAGAGGAAACCAGCCAGCTCCCAGGCCTCTTTTATCAAGGGCCCTTCATGCATCTGTGGAGCCTTTGCTCTTAGGACCCGGTCACATCCCAGACACCCCCCTGCCTGCACCACTGCCCTGTAGATTCAGTCTCAGAGTGTGGATTCAGGTGAGACGCAGACATTCAGACTGCAGCACTGTCCGATGGGTGACAGTAAAGCTTCGTCTCTGAGAGGCCAGCATGGTGGTAGATGTTCTCGTGTGTCGCTATGAAACGAGTTGACCGTCTGTGTTAGCACTCTTGGCTAAGATTAACTTAGATACAAGCCACGAAGAAAACATTGCCGTAGGGGGAGACAGGCCAGAAACAAATTATGATTCTGAAATGGTACAAGAGAGACTCGTCAGGGTCAGTTGCGGTTCATTCAGTTACTCTTGAACAAGGAGGGCTAGGTAGCTTGTGGGAAGAAAAGGAAAGGGCAGGAGGTGGTGTGGTGGCCCAGCAGGTTAAATGCCGGTTCAGGTCCTGGCTGCTCTGCTCCTGACCTAGCTCTCTGCTGATGCACTGGGAAAGCAGCAGGAAGTGTCCTAAATTCTTAGGCCCCTGTCACCCATGTGGGAGACCCGGATGGAGTTCCAGGCTCCTAGATTAGGCCTGACCTGGTTGTTGTGGCCATCTGGGGAGTGGCCAACAGATGGAAGATCTCTTTCTCTTTTTGTCTCTCCCTGTTTCTGTGTCACTCTGCCTTTCAAATAAATAAATAAATCAAAAAAGAAAAAAGAAGTAAGAATGAAAGAAAAGGAGGGGGCATAAAACCAAGCCGGACAAACACAGTTGTCAGCAGGCTGCAGTAAGTAGGCGTGCTTGGCCAAGGCATTTCAGCCAGTCACATCGTTGTGGTGTGCACGTTCACCCCAAACACATTGCCAAAGACCTTTCAGCCCGTTCCTTGCATCTCTACACCAGTTCTTGGTGAGGACAGAGTACGTGTAATACTAACTCTGAGGACAGAAGCAGAGTCTGGCAGTTCCCATGACCTGGCCAAAGCGAGCAGAAGAGTCAGTTGTTAGGACCAGGGCCTCAAGACTGTGGTAGTTGGTGGTTAGGATTTGTGATGCTCACAGTAACAGTAATGGGATCAGCTTAGCCCAGCGTTGTCAGAGTGGGGACCGACAACACTCGGCTTTTCTTTCAACAGAAACGGGAGCAGAAAGAAGCCCTCATTCTCTTCTTCAACAGAACAGCTGAAGCTAAAATCCCATCTGTCATGTAAGTAGTCACCAAGTGTTAACCTCACCACTACGTGAGCCTGCCAGGATGGTATTACTGCTGTCTGTGACCAGAGATTAGAATTACAACTCCCGCCGGCTCCACAGCTCACTAGGCTAATCCTCCACCTTGCGGCGCCGGCACACCAGGTTCTAGTCCCGGTTGGGGCACCGGATTCTGTCCCGGTTGCCCCTCTTCCAGGCCAGCTCTCTGCTGTGGCCAGGGAGTGCAGTGGAGGATGGCCCAAGTGCTTGGGCCCTGCACCCCATGGGAGACCAGGAGAAGCACCTGGCTCCTGGCTCCTGCCATCGGATCAGCGCGATGCGCTAGCCGCAGCGCACCGGTCGCGGTGGCCATTGGAGGGTGAACCAACGGCAAAGGAAGACCTTTCTCTCTGTCTCTCTCTCTCACTGTCCACTCTGCCTGTCAAAAAAAAAAAAAAAAAAAAAAGAATTACAGCTCCCTTGAAACCAAGGTGGAGGGCACTGTGGCCTCACCACCCACAAGGTGTAAATTGGCCTGTAGCTAGAGTCACTATGATGATGTACCTGGGACCCCTAGCAGACCCTCTCTTAGCCCACGTAGCCTGGAGCTGCTGCTGGTTAGAAGGAGGGTGTGAGTTTTTCTCTTGCCAGGAGTACCGTGGTCCTTTGCCTTCAGGGAAAAAAGTAGAAGGGGGCCGGTGCCATGGCTCACTTGGTTGATCTTCCGCCTGTGGTGCCGGCATCCCATGTGGGCACCGGGTTCTGGTCCCAGTTTCTCCTCTTCCAGTCCAGCTCTCTGCTGTGGCTGTGGCTGGGGGTGGGGGTGGGGGTGGGGGGTAGAGGTTGGCCCAGGTACTTGGGTCCCTGCACCTGCGTGGGAGACTGGGAGGGGGTGCCTGGCTCTTGGCTTCGGATTGGCACGGCGCCAGCTGTGGCGGCCATTTGGGGGGTGGGCCAGCGGAGGAAGGACCTTTCTCTCTCTCTCTCTCTCTCTCTCTCTCACTGTCTGTAACTCTACCTGTCAAATAAATGAAGAAAAAAAAAGAAAAGAAAGAAAAAAAAAAGAGAGAGAGAAGCTGCCCCTGCCCCATGGGAATGCTGTGTTCTTCCCCAGAGACATGAGGTTGCAGCCATTGTTGACCTAAATGAGAAGACAGATGTCAACATATATTTAAGATTCGACAAGTGGCCGTGGTCACACTTCCTGCTGTGTCCGCCTTGTCAACTAAAGCTAACCATTTCTATTCCTAGAATTATTCACTGACTTAAGAAACCTCAGTTGTCCGCCTTTCTTAAAGAAAGGAAAACCCACACATGTTCAAGGATCGGTGCAGTGGGAAGGCTGACGTGCAGACTGCCTAACTCACTGTTTAATGTTCCTGTGAGGCTCTGGCAGGATGATGGGCCGCATGATTACACTGCAGTGGGAATGGATGTCGTGCGGGTTGAGCTGTGCCAGACTGGCTGTGGATGAACTGAGACACGGGCAGCCTGCCCCAGACCCTCCCTCGGCCCCCAGGTCCCCTAGCCTTAAGCCCTTTTCCTTGTGGTGCTGTTATGGGACCCATCAACTCCAGCCTAGAAACTTGGCTCCCAGAGACGAATCCAAGTTGCCCCACCAACCCACTTCTTGTGGGCAGCTGACTAACCCATGCCGAGGTGCTGGGTTCTTTCCCAGAGCCCCTTAAGTTTAAGCCTTCCTCTTTGGGTGTTGGGCTCCAAACCACCCCTTTCCCTTAGAGGTTTGAAGTGTGAGCCACTTTGCCACCTCATAGATAAACGTTGGTCAGACAGTGTGCATACTTCTTTGCAAATCTGTGATGAATGGTTTGCTTTGTAGTTGCCAGACAACTTTCAGACCTGTTAACTCACCACACGTGTGCAGCGTCTTTGGGCGGTCAGGAGAGTAAGTTATATGGGCCCCGTCTTTCAAACAAAACACTGAGTAAATCTCTGGATGTCCAAGTCGCACAACTTGCAAGTGGAAATTAGATTGTAAATCTTAAGGACCTCAGTTTCCTCTGCTGGTTGGTTTTCTTCCCTTTTTTGGGAAGGAGGGTACTGCTTGTTTTTGTGTTGAGGGCACCTTTCAATTTAAAGGCCAAGGTTATTGTGGTGGGCAGCTCTGTCCAGCCTGGTGGCTTAGGAAGGCGTGGACGGGTAAAGCTGTGTCTGAGATGGGGAAAGGAAGGAGGCCTCAGGACAGCTGGGGCCTCTGGTTTTTATGAGCTCACTGAGTTGACTTTGTAGGCTTGTGGCTTTTTGAGGCCATACCAATAAACTTCTTCACTTAATATCAGGGCAAAGTTTATGTCTCTCAGAATAATGAAGGTAGGTTCTGTTAACACGACAGCTCATACATCACGTGTTGAACTGAAGTCTGGAATCCTGGTCGGTCGTGGTGTTGTCTGGAAATAACTCTGGCATCTAGAGGACAGTCACCTTGTCCTCCCTTGCCTTCCATCCCCTGCCTGTCACAGGAAGCTGCTGAGACTCGCGCTTCTTTAAGGAAGAGACCGTCTGTTCTGCTCGTGTCCAGGGGTAGCCTCATGCTGAGCAGGGGCTTCCTGTGTCTGGGGGAGCTCACTTTCCTGTTGCTCAGGTGTAGCAGTCACCTGTCCAGGCCGCCTCACCTCTTTGGGATCAGGACCCCTCCCCAGGGTGCTAACTCAAGGGGAACCTGGCAAGGATCTGCTGCCTGGGTACCTCCCCGCCCTACAGCTCCCTAGGCGTGCCTGCCTACCTTCACGTTCAGGGCTGATGGTGAAGAGGTGGAAGCTCAGAAAAAAATATATACATATACATAAATAGCACAGTGGGAGAGAAAAGAAGTGAATTAAAGGCAAACCAAATAAATGACTTCTTTCACATCCTATTCCTTTGCCTTGGAAAAGAATTCAGTTACCACTGACTTAACTGTTGGCTCTGCTGTTTGAGATGCAAATTGAAAAAGAATGATTCAGTATTGATAACACAGATCTTCAGTATTGTTACTTACATCTCAAGATTAAGCTTCCAGAAATTTCCTTAGCCCCTTATCTGGGTATTTTCAGACCAACATAAACACTTCAGTTTGCATTGAAAGCACAATCTAATGATGATAGCAACCAAAGGGGAAACTGTCAACGATCTTCTATGATCCCAGATAAGCAGAGTGTTTCTGAGACATGTCAGAGACACAGAAAACAACAAGGACACTTCTGTGTCCTTGTGCCTGGAAAGCACACAGCAGAAGATGCCATCCCCACAGCTCCTAGTTTTCTTCTTCTGTTCCATATGACCTAGTGTCAGGGGTAAGGGGAGGGGCCAGCTCCCAGAGGAGGGCGGGCAGGCACCCTGGAGGTGTCTGTCACAGATGTGGTTGCTCTTCAGGATCAACTTCAACTGCGGAGTCTATGTTTAATCTGTTTTGTTTCATTGTCAAATGTAGTGAGTACATCCTGGACCTTCTGGAAAGTGGAAGAGAGAAGTTTCTGGTGTTTGCACACCATAAGGTGGTTCTGGATGCAATTACCAAAGAGCTGGAGAGAAAGGTAAGCTCAGCACGAGGTGCTGATGGGTCCTGAGCATGTGTCAGGTTGTGAGCAGGCTCAGGCAGACAGAAGCAAGGCTTCCAGAAATGTTGGCCGTGACCGTCTAAAGAATTCTGGCTTGTAGCTCCACAGTGAGGGGGTCAAAATGTACCCCAGCTGTGTCCTGCCAAGTTTCTTTGTGCTCGGGCAGCTATCCCAGGAGTCTGCTTCGGGAGCCTCTCCCACTGGCTCCTCCATCACCCTGCACACATAATTACAGAACAGGCAGAGGAGACGGAGGCAAGAGTCTGTTGAACATCCTCCTCTTTCCTCCTTTGTGCCTCGCTACTATCAGAGTGCCTTTGTAATCACCACGGCAGCGTGCAGACCTCAGTACAGAACGTTACAGCACTCAAGAAATTGAGCAAAATAGATCCAGAAGGATTTCTGAGCATGTCCGTTAGGACTAAACACATGCTAATTCCACTGTCTTTTAAATTTTTCTTGTCTTCCTTCATCAGGTACATTTATGTGGTAGTTATTTATTTTAAATATTTATTAATTTATTTGAGAGGCTGAGAGACAGAGAGCTCTCATTCACTGGTTTGCTCCACTGCCTTCTAGGGTTGGGCTGGGCCTGGAGCCAGGGGACTCAGACTAGGTCTCCCATGTGAATGTAGGAATCCAGTAACCTGAGCCAGCCCTGCTGCTTCCCACAGGCAGTGTTAGCAGGAAGTTGGACTCAGGAGCTGGAAGCAGGTTTTGAAGCCAGGCGTTCTGATGTGGAACACACGCATCTTAACTCTTAGTCTGAACACTCTCTCCTATACAATATTTTTTTAAAATGCTTATGCCATAGCAATGTATTTTTTTTTTAAAGATTTTAAAGATTTGAGGCAGAATTACAGACAGAGAGAGAGAGAGAGAGGGAGGTCTTCCATTTATTGATCCACTCCCCAAATGGCTGCAACAGCTGGAGCTGTGCCAATCTGAAGCCAGGAGCCAGAAGCTTCCTCTGGATCTCCCACATTGGATTCAGGAGCCCAAGGACTTGTCCCATCTTCCACTGCTTTCACAGGCGCATTGGCAGGGAGCTGGGTCAGAAGTGGAGCATCCGGGACTTGAACTGGTGCCCATATGAGATGCTGGCACCACAGGTAGAGGCTTAACCTACTACACCACAGCACTGGCCCCTCTCCTATACAATATTAAACATACAGAAGATTACAGAGAAATATACAATAAAGACCTATGTGTCATTTTCCCAGATTTAATTAATGTATTTATTTCAAGGTTTATTTTTTAAGTAATCAAGCACTTAAGCCTCCACAGTATTTTAATTCCATTCTATCTCCTGCCTTCCCAGAGATGGCACCATTGTCCTGAAGCTGTCGTGAGCCCTTCTCCTCTGTGTTGTAATACTTTACTCAAGGGTGTATCCTTAGACAATATACAGTATCCCTTTGTGTGTATTGTGGTAAATTTACACAAGTGGTAGCCTACATTAGTATAAATATCCAGCAGTTTACTGTTTTGCCCAACATTATTTTGAGATTTCTCCATATAGTGTTATGCATGTAGTTTATTCACTGTGAATGCTGAATGAAGTCTCACAGGATGACTCCACTGTAGTTTATCTGTTCTCTTGATAATGGATATTGAATTTTATTTGCAGTGCTTGCTGTTCTGTGAATATTTTTGTATATGTACAAGAGCACTTCAAAAAGTTTCTGAGAAAATGGAATTAAAAGATAATTGAACTGGGGTAGATGTTGTGGTGCAGCAGGTTAAGCCACTGCTTGGGATGTCTGCATCCAATCTGGAGTGCCTGGGTTTGAGCCCTGGCTCCACTTGCAATCCCAGGTCCCTCCTATTATGTACTCTGAGAGGCAGCAGATGATGGCTCGAGTATTTTGGTCCTTGTCTCCCTCATGGGAGACTCAGATTGAGTTTCCAGCACCTGGCCCTGTCCTGGCTGTTGAGGGCATTTGGGGAGTGAACCACTAGCAGGTGTGAGATTTCTGGCTGGCTGACTGGCTATCTCTGAAAAACAAAAACAAAGATGAATCTGAAGAAGCTCTAAAATTGCACTTCTTGTTATATGGTTGATGTGTAGGGATATAGGGAAATATCCATGATAAACTGTTAAAAAGCTGTATGTACAATGATTTTTTGTTGCCATGTGCAGATAAAAAGCCTGAGTAATATATACCAAAACATTAATGATGATTATTTGTAAGTAGTCTTCATTATGTTCTTTGGTCTTTCTGTATTTTTACATTGAGTATATTATTTTTATAATTGGAAAAATCAAGTTTTTTTTAAGCATAAAATAAGAGCATTTCAAAAACAAAAAAAATAACATAAGGAAATATGTTTGAGAGACTGTTAGCATCTGATATGACCAAGCACTAATGGCAGTTACATGCAAAAGTGACACTAGTGGACAAAGTTGAATAAATAGTTCATCAATAGCCATTTAGAAGATTCAGTTCTACCAATAACCAAATAAGTGGAAAATAAACTAGATTTTTCTTTTACTCCATCCATTCAGCCAAGGTTTTAACAATGTGTGGTGCTCACTGCTACTACCTGTGCACTGAGAGGGGCATGATTGTGCATTATTTATTGGAAAACAGTTTGGCAGTGCTATCAGCAGCCCTAAGCTCAGTTTATCCCTTTGCCACAGTACTTTGCTATTTAGTAATTCTAGTCTAAGGAAATAATCAAATGTTGGCAAACCCAATTTTCAAAAGCTATGTTTAGATTTAGCAGCTTTGTTGAAATACAGCTGCCATGCAGTAAATTGTACATTCTGTGTACCATCTGATAGGGGCCGGATAGTGAACATACCTGTCACCCCCCACGCCAAAAAAGCTTCCTTGGGCCACTGTCATCATCCCTCCTGCCACTTCTACTCTCCCATCCCTAGACAACTGCCAATCTACTCTTTGTCACTGTGGCGTTGTTTGCATTTTTTAGAGTTTTGTATAAATGCAGAATCATTCAATGTATACTTTTTTGGGGAACATGTTTTGTTTGTTTTTACTTATTTGAGAGCTAAAGAAAGAGAGATTTTCCATCTTCTGGTTTGGTCTCCAAATGTCCACAATAGCCAGAGCTGGGCCAGGCTGAAACTAGGAGCCAGGAACTCAATCCAGGTCTCCCATGTGGGTGGGAGGGTCCAAGTACTTGAGCCATCACTTCTGCCACCCAGGGTGCACATTAGCAGGAAAATGGAATCAGAAGCAGAGTCAGGACTCAAACCCAAGGATGCAGATATGGGAAGTGGGCATCCCGAGGACTGGCTTGGCACTGCACCAAATGCCCAGCCCTCAGGCATATTCTTTTTTTTTTTTATTTGGTTTCTATCACTTAACAAATTTTGAGTTTCCTCCACGTTGTACTAAGTATTATCCTACTGCTAGGCCCTCCTTTTTAGGGGAAATTAGAAGCCCGCTATATCTGCAGAAATGGCAGCAAGGTTGTTTTGTTATGATGCATAATGAAATATAGACATTAAAAAGCATATTCTAAGGGCAGGTATATAGTTCAGTCACCAAGATGCTGCTTGGGATTCCTATATCACATATTGGAGTGCCTGGATTTGAGTCCTGGCACCACTTCTGACTCCAGCTTCCTGCTAATGCATTCCTGAGAGGTATCAGGTGATGGCCTCAGTACTTGGGTTCCTGCCACCCATGTGGGAGACCCAGAATGAGTTCCAAGCTCTTGACTTTGGCCTGGCCCACTGTTGCAGGAATTTGGGGAATAAGCCAGCAGATGGAAGATCTCTCTATGTCTGTCTGTCTTTGTCTCTCTGCCTTTCAAATGAATAAAAAATAATTAAATCATACTTAGCTTATTTACAATGATGCCTGTTGAGGAAAAACAAGATATAAATTTCTGTATTTAAAAGATATACACATTAAGAAGAGTAGCAGGAAAAAAAGGGTTGGTAAGATTAGTAATATTTTTATTTTCCTTATACTGTATATCAGTAGAAGAAATAAATATGAAGATGTTTTTTAAAAGTTCATAGAAAATGGAATGAAAAGGTAAGATAACTTTGATGCAAAAAAATTTTAAGGCATGTATAGTTTTTTCATTGTACACATTTTCATAAACATTTTGGAGATCTCTCATTAATGCCTCTTGAAAGACAAATAGCTCAACCAAACATGCAGTCGCCATTTAACCCAGCAGTTGTCTCCTAGGCATTTACCTCAGAAACATGAAGGCTTCTGTCCATACAGAAACCTGCGCACAGATGTTCACAGCAGCTTTTTTTTTTTTTTTAAAGATGTATTTATTTTATTTGAAAGGCAGAGTTACAGAGACAGAGGCAGAGAGAGAGAGAAAGAGAAAGGTCTTCCATTCACCGGTTCACTCTCCAGATGGCTACAAAGGCCAGAGCTGTGGCAATCTGAAGCCAGGAGCCAGGGGCTTCCTCTAGGTCTCCCAAGTGGATGCAGGGGCCCAAGGACTTGGGCCTTCCTCTGCTGCTTTCCCAGGCCATAGCAGAGAGTTGGTTGGGAAGTGGAATAGCCGGGACTTAAACCAGCTCCCATATAGGATGCTGGCACTGCAGGCGGTGGCTTTACCTGCTATGCCACAGCACCGGCCCCCACAGCAGCTTTTTTAAAAATTTTTACTTATTTGGGAGACACGGGGAGAGAGAAAGCGCCCATCTGCTGATTTACTCCCTGCAGTGCCTACAATGGCTGGGGCTTTGCCAGGCCAAAGCCAAAAGCTTAGCGCTCAAGCTGGGTCTCTCCTGCATGGGTGACAGGAACCCAAGTATCTGAGCCATCACATGCTGCCTCCCAGAGTGTACAAGATTACCAAGGAGCTAGAATCGGAGGTGGAAGCAGGACTCTAACCAGGCCTTTTGATGTGGGATGTGGGTGTTGCAATCACTGCACCAGACACCTGCTTCCAATTGCGGTTTGTAGTAGCCCACACTTGGATCAACCCAGTTGTCCTTCAGAGAAGAAGTGAAACCAGGGTACATACAGACCGTGGGATACTACTCAGCAGTAGAAGGGAATGAACTACTGATACGGGCAGCACCTGGGGGGAACCTCCAGACAGTGGTGCAGAAAACCCCAGAACGTTACATAGCTAATGTTCTTGAAACACTTTAGAAATGTGGGAGAGGGGCTGGTGCTGTGCCCTAGCGGGTAAAACCGCTTCCTGCAGTGCTGGCATCCCATATGGGTGCCAGTTCTTGGCCCAGCTGCTCCACGTCCGATCCAGCTCTCTGCTATGGCCTGGGAAAGCAGTAGAAGATGGCCCAAGTCCTTGGACCCCTACACCCATGTGGGAGACCCAGAGGAAGCTCTTGGCTCCTGGCTTCGGATCAGCACAGCTCTGGCCATTGCAGCCATCTGGGCAGTGAACCAGCAGATGGAAGACCTCTCTCTCTCTCTCTCTCTCTCTACGTCTCTTTCTCTCTGTGTGTAGCTCTGAATTTCAAGTAAATAAATGAATGAATGAATCTTTTAAAAAGATTTTGAAAAAAAGAAGTGCGGGAGAGATTAGTGGCTAGCAGGAGTTAGGAGTGGGGAAGGGAAGGGAGATGAGACTGATTCTAAAAGGACCGCAGGACGATCCCTTGCAGTGTTGGACTGTTCAGTATCTTGACCGTAGAGGTGATTACATGAATACTGACATGGGCAATAGAATTATGTGGAACACACACGTGGACAAGTGACATGGACATCTGAATGGATCCCTGGATTGGGTCAAAGTCAGTATCCCAGCTGTGATGCAGCATAGCTTTACAAAGCATTAGCATCAGGGGAAACTAGGCACCGTATGTAAGGAATCTCTATATTTTTAAAAATATTTTATTTATTTGAGAAGCAGAGTTACAGAGAGAAAGGGAAAGATGGAGAGAAAGAGGTCTTCCACCTGCTGGTTTACTCCCCACATGGCTGCAGTGGGTGAGGCTGAGTCAGGCCAAAGCCAGGAGCCTGGAACTCGATCTGGGTCTGCCACATGAGTGGCAGGGGCCATCCTCTACCACCTTAGCAGGCTCATTAGCAAGGAGCTGGATTGGAAGTGAAGCAGCCAGGATTTGAACTTGAACTGGAGCTCATTTGGGACTCCAGCCCCACTGTGTTATTTCTTAATCTAGCATGTGAATATACAGTTATCTAAGGATACATTTCAGTGGGGGGTGGGGGGTTGGGGAGAGCTCTGTGAGCAGTGGGCCTCTTGGCTGTGTCCTTGAGGCCATGACCAGGTGCAGCCTGCTCAGCAGGCCCTGGACGCTACTGCGGCTCACCTCCATTCCCTCCTGTTCTCGCAGCACGTGCAGCACATCCGCATCGATGGCTCCACGTCCTCCGCAGACCGAGACGCCCTGTGCCAGCAGTTCCAGCTGTCGGAGAGGCACACTGTGGCAGTGCTGTCCATCACGGCCGCCAACATGGGCCTCACCTTCTCCTCGGCTGACCTGGTGGTGTTCGCAGAGCTGTTTTGGAACCCAGGGGTAAGGAACCCAGTAGACTTGAACTGAACTCCCCCGAGGGAAGGGGTGAGGGGAGACGTAGTTTCTACGAGCTTTCCCCAGTGGTGTTGCATTTTCTTCTCCGTTTCTGTCAGCCTCATAAACGTGTTGATACCTTGACCTATCAGATTGCACTGCTCTTAAACACTTGCACATCTGTTGACTGGTTTTAGGTCTTCACTGAAACCTGTAGGATTACTGATTCCTTCTATCAGTGGGAAAGTTGAAGGTTTAGAAGGCTGGAAGGAATCCTAGTCTTCTCTCATTGGAGAAGGTTGGGGCCCAGGGAGCTAGGTGGTGAGTCAGGGCTGCACAGCGGTCACCTGAGGGGCCTGTGAGGCTCTGATGCTCCATTCCCCTGAGCTGCGTCAGCCCAGGGGCCTCCGACAGCACATGGTATCCCTTGAACATCGTCCTTGTGCTCACTGAACCTGTCTGATCAACTGAGGGCTGTGACAGCAGATAGAAGACACTTGTTGATATTAGAAAATGTTCTCCTGAGCTCCAAAGAGAGTTACTTCCACCCTGATGCTCTGACATCGTGTGGCTTTGTTTGGCCACACATCAGAGATTGTTTCAATGACTTCAAGGTTGCAGGCTTTTTATAATTGAAACAGTGCCCTTGATTTTAGTTGTTTATCACAAGGCTTGCCGCCCTAGCCCCTTGTTATGATGGACGATTTGATTTGTTTTGAAGGTGACTGTATTTCACAGAGAACACAGGTGGACAAGTGCCAGGTCTCAGCCATCTGCCCCAACCCACACAGCCTGAAGGCGGAGCCTGAGGCATTCTCCATTCACAGCATGCATCAAGGTGCTGGGTGCCCATCCACAGATACCCAGCTTCAGATTCCAGTTCCCTCACTAGAGTTTCATTTGGCTCTCTCTCATTAAGACCTCAGGTCATTTGCAGGTCCTAGAGACACAGGGCTGCTCAGAGGAGGAGGAGCTGTGCTGGGCCCTGGGGCATGCAGCTTCCTGCTGTGGTGGGCTGGAACTTACCCAGCTGTCTTCTGATCCCTGGGACACTCAGGTGCTGATCCAGGCTGAGGACCGGGTGCACCGCATTGGACAGACCAACTCCGTGGGAATTCACTACCTCGTGGCGAAAGGCACTGCTGATGACTACCTCTGGTATGGCCTGGCTGTGTGGCCTGGAACTTGGAGTTGAGCAAGGCTGGACACAGACCATGTGTTTCCTTTACACTCCAAGCACTTCTGCTTTTGTTAAGACCTCCGGGGATCTGCCTAGAAGACCCATTAGTGATGCCCTCCGGCCTGCATCATCCCACGTTTGGTTTCTTTCGCCAATGTTCCCAGTGGCTTACAGGGTGTGGAAGGAAAGCTTGCAGGAATAAGGGGATGTGCCTTCTTTCCTACTGGTCTGAGACAGGGAGAAGAATTAATTATGGTGAAATATGAATAGAATTTAGTTTGCAAATCACTCTGTTCCCAGCCATGAAGACACTTGTTGGGCCAGGGACTGCCTCCTTCTCCCCTTCTGTGATAGGAGTTGGTTGGATAAGGCCACACATCATAGTACTGCTGCTGGACCATAGGGAGAAAGCAGCTCACCCTGGACCATGCAGTGCTTCATTAGCAGAGCCGGGATAGTCTTGAACCCTGGGGATTTGTGCCTATTACGTTAGCAAAAATTCCCAAAGTGCTCTTTCCCAATCCTGTTTCCCCCTGCCTAACAGTAAGTTTCTTGAATGTCTCATTAGTTTCCGCCGCTGTCTCTGTTTCTAGCCTTAGAACCAAAGAGCCCTACCTTTACAGCGTGTGTGGGCCACCCTTGTTTCCTGTTTTAGTGGATTTGTTAGCTGGGCAGCAAATGACATCACCAGGTTCAAAATTTTCTCATAAGGAGGCAGCATTTATTTCCTGCACATCTTCTGTTAGGATGAATTTTGAACCTGATATTATGAGCCCTAAATTGGAGGCGGTTTACAATGGGGAGGTAAGATATCTCAGAATGGGTGTGTGTGTCTCGGCAGATGCAAAGATGTGAAACCATAAACACATGGCAGCCCCATTGGAACCCAGAGGGTGGCCTCATTTTAATCAGCACGCTGGTTCTGTGCAGGTTGTATTCACTGCAGTTCGTTTCTCTCCGACAGGCCCCTGATCCAAGAGAAGATTAAAGTTCTGGGGCAAGCCGGGCTTTCTGAGACCAATTTCTCAGAAATGACAGAAGCCACTGATTACCTCTACAAGGTAACGCCAGCGCGGCTCTCGGTCACTGGGGCAGGGGAGGCAGTAAGCTGTGTTTTGTGCCCTTGGGTCCTGAGTGGGCAGGTGTGAGTCACCGCCGGGACCCTGCCCCAACCCCAGAGCTGCAAACGACAGGCCTGCAATCCCTCTCCATTCTGTCTGTGTGTGCATCCCTTTATAGGGAAATGTGGGCAGTAACTCCTGCTGCTTGTAATGTTCCCCCATAGAGTCTCATAGCACCCAGGCTTGCAAACGCTACTGCTTCATCAGGCCATTAGAAACTGAAGGAAAACTCCCCATGGCAGCTGCTGAATTGTGGCAAAAAATCCATAGCAACACACCCAGCTGGGCTGCGGCAGGAACACGACCCCAGCACAGAATGGAGAGTCTATAAAGTCGGGATTGCTTTCATAGGACAGAATTTCCCTCTCTGTCGTTTCATTATATTCCCATTTTCTCGAGGGTAAACTGAGCCGTGGGAGAGCAGTAAGACTTGCACAGAATCACAGATGTTCCCAGCCCAGCCCAGCCCAGCCCAGTATTCCCCCTGTGGCATCAGCCCCTCGTTATAAAGCAGTGGAAGAAGCAGAGAACATCCTTCCCTGAGCAGGGGCCCTGGTCATAGATGCTGGGAGGCTTGTTCGCCTCTGGAGAGGGCAGCCCCGGGCCCCCTATACCAACTGTGACCTTTCACCAGCCTTTCAATGGAACCCAAAGGCACAAAGACTCCCCAGCACTTGTCTTCACCTGCTGTGTGGTTGACAAGGCAGGTGAAAACCTGGGAGCTACTGCCCTCCCCACACACACACACACACACACACAAACGCCTGGGTGCTCACCCTCTTGTCTCTGACGGAGGAGTTTGGAGGAGGCTGCAAGCTCAGTAGCTCCAGCAGCAAACAGCTGCCTCCTTTTCACGGTGGAACTGCTGAGCGTTAGTCGTTGAGTTAAAGCCACAAAACCTTGTTGGTGACGCCAAATCTGAGGATTTGGTTATTCATTTATGTTTACCTGACAAATAAATCCTTTCTTCTTAATATAGTTATTGGGGACAGGTAAGACTCAGATCATATTTTTCAACGTAGACTATTAAGTTATCCTTCTCTGCATAAACAATAAGCCAATTTTAAGCTTCTGGAAGAACTCACTAATTCAATTGAGTGGTAGGTTTGTTGAGAGAGCCTAGGTAATCTACAGGTGTGTGCAGGATTTCAAAAATGCTTTTGCATCAAAATACATTTAATCTTTAATTTCATCTTCCATAAACTTTTGAAGTACCTACCATGCTCTTTGAAGGGAAAGCCTTATTTTTGAAAGATTCTCATTTGAACTCCTGTATTCATCTTGGTTTTTCCCCCCAGTTACTCTGAATTAGTTAAGAATTTATGCCCAAACTATGAATGCAAGATAATAGAAATGAGATTTATTAATATTTATTATAGGTGTTAATTTTCAATTTTTTTTATTAAGCTAAGCCTGAAACTTTCAACAACTAAAAAAAGAAAATGTCGCCTCCTGTACAGGAGACAAAAGCAAAAAAGGTTCTGTCTCGCTGAGATAGCCATCCTTCCGAGAGGGGAAATGAAATCTTAATCTCATCGTGGAACTGGCTTCCAGTTAATTATGCATGCGCCACAGTATCTTAATCAAACGCACGCTAGCAGGGGCTCCTGCTCGGAATAAGCTGCCTTGCAGGACGACATCTAGTTGGCATTGCTCTTGTCCCAAAAGAAGCTGATCAGGGTGTCCTGGAGGGGACATGTAGTTGGCATGGGGACCAACCTTAATGTTAGTGTCGTACCCCACACCAAAAGGCTGGGCGGTATGGGGCATAGGTTAATTGAATAACCTGGAAATCTTCAATAGTTTGCTCCTGTGATCAGCGCCCAAGGCACTTGAATTCACCAATGCGGAGGGATTTTGTTAGGGAATAGGGAGGAAAGCATAGCCACTTAGGGAACCAGCTCAAGGTTTGATGAGGCAGACACAGGAGAGCCCACAGGCTATCCTCTTGTTGGAGGATAGCCTTGGTGGTGGAGGGTCAGTCTAGCAGAGAGCTGTGGGCTGATGTACCATCCTTGGGTTCTTTCAAGACAATTAAGTTTCTTAAAGAAAGAAGGGTGAGGAAAGAAGGTGGGGGAGGGCAATCACCCTTGAGAAGTAAAAACATAGAACAGCCCTGGTCTAGACTGTTGAAGAGTGGTTCTCTTAGTTCTTATATTTCATTCTTTTTCTTTTTTTCCTCTCTTTCTGTTTCTTTTTCTTAGACTAAACAGAAGAGGGAGGAGACAGGGAGGGAGGAGAAGGGAGGGTAGGTATGGTGGGAAGAATTACTATGTTCCTAGTGGCATATTTATGAGATACATACAAATAAAATAAAAAGGAAAGAAAGAAATGAGAAGAAGATTGAGGCAGGAGCTGTGGTTGCATTATTGCAAGTTCTTGTAGGTACCAAGTGATGTGGCCCAAGTCAAGAGGGTACCTTGATGTAAAGGGGTGGGAACTGGTGGGAGAAGCACCTGGTAGAGGTGCAGGGAGACTGTAGGGGTGTTGGTAGCCTCTCAGCAACAGACCTGTTGGGAAGAGAAGCTGTTCTTGGGTGTAAGAGTAAGATGAGAGAGATGGTTTTGATTTTAAGCGAGTTTAGTTTTATGGAACTGTGTCAGTAGGGATGTTGAAAATGCACCTCTGGAGGGCTGGCGCCGCAGCTCACTAGGCTAATCCTCCGCCTTGCAGCTCCGGCACACCGGGTTCTAGTCCCGGTCGGGCACCGGATTCTGTCCCAGTTGCCCCTCTTCCAGGCCAGTTCTCTGCTATGGCCCGGGAGTGCAGTGGAGGATGGCCCAAGTGCTTGGGCCCTGCACCCCATGGGAGACCAGGAGAAGCACCTGGCTCCTGCCATCGGATCAGCGCAGTGCGCTGGCCGCAGCGCGCTGGCCGCAGCGCGCCAGCCATGGCAGCCATTGGAGGGTGAACCAATGGCAAAGGAAGACCTTTCTCTCTCTCTCTCTCTCACTGTCCACTCTGCGGAAGGAAGGAAGGAAGGAAGGAAGGAAGAAAGAAAGAAAGAAAGAAAGAAATGCACCTCTGGATAGAAAGACGATAGGAGTGGGAAGTAGATACCTAGGAGAGATCCACAGAGGAGTGACAGTAAACCCATGTGTTGCAGTCGGTGTGATTTTAACACCAAACTGTTAACAACAGGTAGATGCAGTTGGTAGGCATTTTCATAATTTGTAGCTTTAAGATCATCAGAAACAGGCATAGGTGTCTACTTTTAAATAGTTTGAGTGTTAATATGTTAAGCCCATTTTATTGACTTGTAATTATGTATAAATCATGGCTAACCACACTGATTTGGGAGTCAGGTTACAGCTTAATTAACCATTTGGAAGAGAAAGGCTTTGGAAGAAGTAGATGTTGAGCTATTTCAGTACTGAAGTTCTGGTTTGGAAAGTTAGAAGGGAGGAAACATTTCCAATGTGAATTATAGAGTGAGAGCAGCTGCTTTGTTGCTCTTACAGCCATTTCTTTTTCTCCATGGTAATTCAGTGAGCGGAGAAAGTATCAGACACAGTAAGGTCACATCAGTGACAAATCGTTTAATGAGATGGTCTCCACCCCTACCATCACCCAGCTCCTGATGACAAAGGGTGTGTAGTCTCTCACTTCTATGCTGCTCGCCAGCCACAGAGGAGGTCCTCTTGCAGCCTGGCTTCTTCCTTTTATCTTTTCTTTTCTTCCTCTGATGCAGGACCCAAAGCAGCAGAAGATCTATGACCTGTTCCAGAAGTCCTTTGAGGAAGACGGCAGTGACACAGAACTCCTGGAGGCAGCAGAGTCTTTTGACCCCGGAAGTGCTTCAGGAATATCTGGAAGTGGTTCCCAGGACTTAGGAGACACCCTGGGTGAAGACACATTGACAGGCAGTCCACCAAAGAAAAGGAGATTTGAATTTTTTGATAACTGGGACAGCTTTACTTCTCCTCTGTAAAAGGGACCAAAAAAAATTAAAAATCATGGAGTTCATTAAAATAAGATAAGGTATTTTGTTTTGAAAGCCTATGCTCCTCTTGTCTGCAGCAGTGGCTATGTCTGTTGGTAAGCCTGCAGTAGCTCCAACATTTCCAGTCCCCCATGGTTGGATGCAGGCTTGCTTTGGGTCTTAGTTCACCTTGGCTTTTAAGCTTTGACATGCAGGCAGTGGGTTGTAGCATGATAATTCATGTTTTTAAAATAATGAAGTGCTTCCTACACATCCCTTGAAATCTAGATTTTTTTTTTTCAATTTAGTGACAACAAATATTTATAGAGCACCTGTTGTATGCTTGACACCATTCTAGGTACTGGCAATAATTTTGATGAGCAAAAATGAAAAAATACATGCCTTTCTGGTGTTTACTCAGTGGGAAAGGCAATAGTTTTACAGCCTCTTTCCAATAAAAGTCTACTTATGGACGTTAAAATTTGAATTTCTCTGACTGACTGGTTTGATTTTTTCTAACCATTCAAGGATGTGATACCATTCTAGCTTCCTGCTGTTCAGACAGAGACAGCAGGCTGAATCTTTGCCACTGCCCAGTTCCTAAATGTTGGTTTAGAGCAATAGCCTCCTCTGTGAGTGTGATTTTTCTTCTTCTTTTTTAAGATTGATTTGTTTCTTTGAAAGGCAGTTTCAGAGAGAAAGAGGGACATCTGCTGATTCACTCCCCAAATGGCCGCACTGGCTGGGGCTGGGGCTGTAGAAACCAGGAGCTCAGAATTCCACCCCACGAGGGAGCAGAGACCCAGGTACTCGGCCTGCTTTCTCAGGCCCATCAGGAGCTCAGAATTCCACCCCGTGAGGGAGCAGAGACCCAGGTACTCAGTCTGCTTTCTCAGGCCCATCAGGAGCTCAGAATTCCACCCCAACAGGGAGCAGAAAGCCAGCTACTCGGTCTGCTTTCTCAGGCCCATCAGCAGAGAGCTGGATTGGAAGTGGGAAAGCCAGGACTTGCACTGGTGCCCATATGGGATGCTGGCATCACAGGGGGTAGCTTTACCCACTGCACTATGTCAGCCACAATTTTAACTTACCTTATATGACATTTGAAAGATTAAGATAAAATTCATAATATATTTTATTTAACTTGATATATTTAATATAGGAGAACTTCATGGAAATTTCACATTTTTTTCCTGCAAATGTATTCTTTGCAGTACAACAGGCTCCAAGACAACACTTCATCCTGGGAGTCAGTGACAAGATGTCACGGCAGGGACACCAGATGTGTAGACAGGCATGCACTCAAGGGTCACCCTTGACTCAGACACACACAGTAGCTTACTGGGTATCACATTGCTGGATTCCACCCGTGGCCCTGGGGCCTTCCCACAGCCTTTGCTTTCAGCTCGTGCGGTTCTGCTACTGAAAGCCTCCTCAACTCCACCTCCTCTGCCTGCTTCTTGGGCTGCCAGGGGCTGCTTCTTGCCATCTTCACAGCCAGATGGAGCACACTGCACTTGTGTTTTTTGTCTTTTTGTTTTTTTTTAGTTTTTAAAAAAATTTACTTATTTATTTGAAAATGAGAGTCACAGAGAGAGAGAGGGATTGACAGAGAGCCTCCATCCACTGATTCATTCCCAAATGACTACAACAGTCAGGACTGGGCCAAGCTGAGGCCAGGAGCCAGGAACTTCCAGACATCTCCCATGTGGATGCAGGGGCCCAAGCACTTGGACCATCCTCTGCTGCTTTTCCAGGCACATTAGCAGGGAGCCAGATTGGAAGTGGAGTAGCTGAGACTCGAACTGGCGCCCATATGGGATGCTGGTGTTGCTGGCAGCAGCTTTACCTGCTACACCACAGCACCGGCCCTGCATTATCCTTTAATTCTGTTTTCCCATGAGCTTTCTGAAGTCCCTTCCTGTTTATATATCTCAACATGTAAGCAATACTTTTTAAATATTAATGAGAAATTGTCTTTTTTCCTACTAAGTCTTTTTTTTTTTTTTTGACCTATTGTCATGTTTAATCCCAGTGAGAGTCAAGTTGGGAATTGATAATTTCTTCTTTTTTTTTTTTTTTTTTTTTTTACAGAAGATCAGTTTAGTATACATTAAGTAAAGATTTCAACAGTTTGCACCCCCACAGAAACACAAAGTGAAATATACTGTTTGAGTACTCGTTATAGCATTAAGTCTCAATGTACAGCACATTAAGGACAGAGATCCTACATGAGGAGTAAGTGCATAGTGACTCCTGTTGTTGACTTTACAAATTGACACTCCTGTTTATGGCATCAGTAATCTCCCTATGCACCAGTCATGAGTTTCCAAGGCTATGGAAGCCCCTTGAGTTCTCCGACTCTTATCTTGTTTAGACAAGGTCATAGTCAAAGTGGAGGTTCTCTCCTCCCTTCAGAGAAAAGTATCTCCTTCTTTGAAGACCCTGTTCTTTCCACTGGGATCTCACTCACAGAGATCTTTCATTTAGGTTTTTTTTTTTTTTTTTTTTTTTTTTTTGCCAGAGTGTCTTGGCTTTCCATGCCTGAAATACTCTCATGGGCTTTTCAGCCAGATCAGAATGCCTTTAGGGCTGATTCTGAGGCCAGAGTGCTGTTTAGGACATCCGCCATTCTATGAGTCTGCTGAGTATCTCGCTTCCCAGGTTGGATCACTCTCCCCTTTATTTATTCTATCGGTTAGTATTAGCAGGTACTAGACTTGTTTATGTGCTCCCTTTGACTCTTAGTCCTTTCATTATGATCAATTGTGAACTGAAATTGATCACCTGGACTAGTGAGATGGCATTGGTACTAAGTCTTTTTTTGTCCATTTCTTTTTTTCTTTTTATTTATTTATTTTTCCCAAAGAAATATTTTATTTAAGGAGTACAAATTTCATAAGTACAACTTTAGGTATATAGTGATTCTTCCTAACATAACCATCCTCCCACCCCACTTCTTCCTCCCTCCCCCATTCCAAGTTCCATTCTCCGTTAAGATTCTTTTTTTTTTTTTTTTTTTTTTGACAGGCAGAGGCTAGGCGGAGGATTAGCCTGTTGAGCCACAGTGCCGGCCAAGGTTCATTTTCTTTTTTTTTTTTTTAGATTGATAAAAACTTCCTCTTTAATCAAGGCTTTAAACATGGAATAGATTTCTTGAATAAAATGGAGAGTTTCCAATACATTGAAACATAAAATCAGAAGTCACCATCCATACAATACTCGGCGGGAAAAAAACAGAACAGCAAGGTCACACGACCCCTGTGATAACCCTGGTCTTACTCTCAGATGCTCTGCGGGCTACAGAACACACCGTGGCTTCTGGGGTCACATTCAGGGGAGGCCGTGGCCTGCAGAGCACTCGCTGGCTGGGCTGTGGTGGTGTTGGCTTTACTCATGAAGCAAAGTAGCAGGTACCAGCATATGTGAACAGTGTATTGAACATCCTTGAAATATCAGAGTGAGAAGAAGGAAGGGAGGCAACATAATGTTATCAGAAAGATGTCAGAAAGGAAGAACAGCTGTGTGGAGCTCGAGGCTGGAAGTGGCTCGCCAGCTTCATTTCTTTGGTTTCTTCGGTAGTAGCCGCCAGAACAGCAGAATGTGGGGTTCTGGTTCGTGGATCATATAATGGACCCATCCCTGACTCTGCTGAACGCCAAGGTTCCTCCATTCAGATTCAGACATCAGATGGGTTTTAGGGACCAGCTTGGCTATGTCCTTGGGCAACATAACATGCCGGTACTCGAACTCCTCGTCGTCATACTTGTCTGAATAGTAAATCTGTTTGTGCGACGTGATCGCTCTGCCTGCGGGCCGTCAGCCCCACGCTGCCAACCTCCAAACAACTCGCAAGATTCATTTTCAATTAACTATACACAGAAGACCAACTCTATACTAAGCAAAGATTTCAAAAATTTGCACACACACTGAGAACAAGTTTTACAGTTAATTCTCATAATATAACTTGAGGACAGAGGTCTTGCATGGGAAGTAATTGCACAGTGATTCCTGTTGTTAATTTAACAACACTCTTATGTATGAAGTCAGAGATCACCCGAGGCTGTTGACATGAGCTGCCAAGACTGTGGAAACCTTTTGAATCCACAGTCTCTGTTATGGAAGTTCTCTCCTCCTTTCATAGAAAAGTATGTCCTTCTTTGATGGCAGTTTCTTTCTGCTGGGGTCTCAGTCACATCCTTCATGTAGTACATTTTTTGCCACAGTGTCTTGGCTTTCCGTGCCTGAAATACTCTCATGGGCTTTTCAGCCAGACCAGAATGCCTTAAGGATTGATTCTGAGGTCAGAGTGCTATAAAGCAATTGTCATTCTATGAGTTGGCTGTGTGGACTGCTTCCCATGTAGGAACATTCTCTCCCTTTTAATTCTATTATTATTTCCAGACACTTGATTTTATTTATATGATCCCTTTAACACTTAACCCTATTTATATGATCACTTTAACATTTAATATGATCACTTTAACACTTAAGATGGCATTTTAACACCCAGCTTAATGGGATTTGGGGTTGATGTTTTCCAGATCCATCCATTTTGTTGCAAATGACCAGATTTCATTTTTTTTTTTACCACTGTGTAGTATTCTATAGAGTACATATCCCATAGTTTCTTTATCCAGTCTTCAGTTGACATTTAGGTTGATTCCATGTCTTAGCTATTGTGAATTGAGCTGCAATAAACATGGGGGTGCAGATAACTGTTTTACTTGCTTATTTCATTTCCCTTGGGTAAATTCCCAGGAGTGGGATGGCTGGGTCATATCATAGGTCTATATTCAGATTTCTGAGGTATCTCCATACTGTCTTCCATAGTAGTTTTACCAGTTTATGTTCCCACCAACAGTGGATTAAGGTACCTTTTTCCCCATATCCTTGCCAGCATTTGTTGATGATTTCTGTGTGAAAGCCACTCTAACTGGGGTGAGGTGAAACCTCATTGTGATTTTGATTTGCATTTCGCTGATGGCTAGTGATCCTGAACATTTTTTCATGTGTCTGTTGGCCATTTGGCTTTCCTGTTTTGAAAAATGTCTGGTTAAGTCCTTGGCCCATCTTTTAGTGGGCTGTTTGTTTTGTTTTTGTGGAGTTTCTTGATCTCTTTATATATTCTGATTATTAATCCTTTATCAGTTGCATAATTTGCAAATAATTTCTCCCATTCTGTTGATTGCCTCTTCACTTTCCTGAGTGTTTCTATTGTAGTAAAGAAGCTTCTCAATTGGATATAATCCCATTTGTTAATTTTGGCTTTGACTGCCTGTGTGTCTGGGGTCTTTTCCAAGGACTCTTTGCCTGTGCCAATGTCTCTAATTTTCCCAATGTTCTCTAATAATTTGATGGTATCAGGTTGTAGATTTAGATCTTTAATCCATTTTGAATTGATTTTTGTGTTAGGTGTAAGGTAGGGGTCCTGCTTCATACTTCTGCATGTGTAAATCCAGTTTTCCCAGCACCATTTGTTGAATA